CCGCACTTAACGTGGGGGAAGCAGGGCATCGTGTGGGCAGCAGAGCCAGGGCGCTCCGCTGGCTTTGTGCCCCTCTGAGTGGCCACTGTCACGTGCTGACAGACCTCCAAGGACTTCTCTAGGCCCAAAGCTGGGCTGTAGGTGGCCCAAAGCAGGGCACCCTTCCTAAGACGTGGATGGGTAGAGTGCCCTTTGCGGTGCCAGCCCTCGTGACGAAACGCAGAGGTGACTGCATGCTGAGACCCAGGGTTTAGAAAGGAATCTAAGAGGTCTGCAGCCTCTCTGTAAAGCATCCTTGTACTGCAACACCAGCATCCAGGGATGGGGTGATACTTTTGCAATTCCTCCATCCCTCCCCTGGCCTGTGTTTGTACCCGGAAGGTCCAGCCCTGGTTGGAGACGTTTAGGAGCAGGCAGAGGGGAAGCCTAGGGCTCCCTGGTGTGTCTGTTGCTCTCGGTGGAGCCTGAGAGGTGGCAGTGAGCAGGGCCAGCTTGGCAGCACAGCAGAGCTCTCTGTTTCTGCCCCTCCGGTACTGATACCTGTCTCCTCTGCGTTTCTCTTTCTGTTTTGTTTTGTTTTTAAAGAACATGAATGAAAAGGGAGCTCCTCTTACCCAAGACAAGGGCTAAGCTCCCTCTCACCCTGAACAAACCAGCAGCCAACTCCTCTCAGCCAGGGGGAATGTGGCTTTCCACAGTCAGCAGCTTTGGTACTGTTAGAGCAATGAGCACAAGGCTTCCGAGAAGCATTTCCTGCTGCTGGGCAATGCCAAGAGGTGCTTTGGAAGACAGTCCGTCTCCGACCAAGCCCTGCTATCGGGAAGAGCAAAGGTGGGGGGCAGCTTGCCACGCTGTTCCGTGCCCCACATGGCTCAGAGCGAAGCCGTGTTTCCAGACATGAGTAGAGGAGAGTTAACAACCGCGTGCCACCATCGTGCTGTGAGCACAAGAGTGTGGGCTGTGTGTGCACTGAGAGCACGGAGCATCCTCAGCCAAGAGCTCGGTGGAAGGGGGAGGGGGGGGGACGACTCCCCCTGCTGAGGACACTGGTGTGCAGTGCAGAGGGACGTGGAGGTGCCCTCGGAGGCAGCGCTGGATGTGAGCCACCTGGGGATGCTGTGCTGGTACCTACGTGGTCTGCTCCTCCCCGCTGGGGGGGGGGGTGTGAAGAAGTTCCATAGCTGTGATTTCTCACCTGCTGGGCTCTTAGGATGCTCTTTGGAGTCGTCATACGATGCCCCTACACCTGAGCTGGACGCAGCCCCAGCCTGAAGGATGCGGGTGGTGGAGTGATGGGTGAGGAGTGGTGTTTGGAGAGCTGCAAGCTGCTGCTGCTGTAAAGGACACGGCCAGCTGCTGGTGGGTCAGTGCTGTGCTTGGGGCCTGAAAAGCACATTCCTGCTCCTCGTGCTGCCTCTCTTTTCTTCTGAGATGTCCAAAGCCTGACGTTCAGCTTGCAGAGAGGGGCTGTGGTCGGTGTTACCCCATCTCAGCCATCTCCCGAAGGTGCGTTGAATCTGGCTCTTACATCCCAAGCCTCAGCTGGGCAGCAGAAACGTTGTGTGCATGGAAAAGACAGCTCCAATCGTGGTGCATCCTTTCCCCACCACAAATCATTCCGGTCTGGCAAAAAAAAACCAACAAAAAACCAACCAACAAACAAAAACCAACCCCAAGAAACAGCGTTCTTCCATTGGTCTTAGGCACTGAGAGAGGGGATCTCCAAGCAGCAGGGCATCGTTGAGCTCCCACATTGGGGCATTGGACTCTTTGTTCTCTTCCACCTTTTGACCTTAACTCCGTCTCACAGCCCAGAACCTCAGCGAGGAGCTTCTGCTTCTGAGCCTGGATGTCACAGATGGATGGCAGGGCAGGTGGGGCTGCTCTGAAGGTGGGGAGCATTACGTCAAACGTAGACGTGCTCCTCTTTTTCCTCTTCCCAGCTCTCCTGGGTGGGGGGAGGATGGGACAGGTGTAAAAACTCCAGCAAACAGAAGCTCCGAGGGTCTTAAAATGTAACACATGGGCAGACCTGAATCTTTTTCAGCACATTCCCACTGCCCCTAACTGGTTTGCACTATTCGAATTTGTCAGCAGTGGGTCTGTGCTGATGGGAATAGAAGGCTGGTGGTGGGCAGATCTCATCCGTGATGTCTTTCTTCCTTTTTTTGGTTTGGTTTGTTGTTTTCTGTTTGGGAAATGATCACCCCGAGGGTTGGATAAAGCTAAAGACCAGAGGGAAAAGCTCCATTCTGATCTCCAGTTCTGTGAACTGGGCAGCACGCAGCCGTCTGCCCAGAAATACGGTTATATATCATTTTGATTTAAATTTTTTTAAATGCTAATGTTTTAACAAGGTTAAGAAGCTATCGGGAAGGATGGGGATGGCAGCTAACAAGGAAAAATAAAACCCAAGGACAAAAAACTTCCCCCCTCCTCGTGGTCCCTGCAGCGCAGCCCCGGCTCGGAGCACCTCCTCCCCATTGCATCCATTGGGGCTGGGGGTCTGACAACAGCTGTGAGCTCTGCCTGCTGCTGCTCTGCTCACCTGGGGCTCTGATTCGATTCTGATGATGATGCTTTTTCTTTTTTCACTCGGAGGTCCCTATGGGGGGGGGTGGAAGGGGGGGGTGCCACCTGGTGACCCGCTGCCCATGCGCACGCAGGCTGTTGCAGAGCAGAGCCACGTCACAGAATCACAGAATTGTAGGGGTTGGAAGGGACCTCCAGAGATCATCGAGTCCGACCCCCCTGCCAAAGCAGGTTCCCTACACCAGGGAAGCTCAGATCACCAGTTCTAGGCTCAGACACAGTACTGAGTTGTACCGAGTTTGAAGGGTTCACGTGCCTCACTGGAAGGGCACGTGGGGCAGCAGGCACCACCTCAAGCTGCTGGCATTTAAGAAGTGTTTGGATATAGTGTTTGGATTATGAAGGGTCCAGCATGGGGCCAGGAGTTGGGCTCAAGGATCCCTGGAGGATTCTTCCAACTGAGGATGTTCTGTGGCCCTATGAAGACCTGGGAGCAGGAGGGGAGCAGGGAAGGAAAGGGTTTGATGGGTTGGTGAGTTCCATCAGCGTGGCTCTGATCAGCAAATCAAAGCCCTGCTTGGATCTGTGGGTCAGCACCCCAATGCTGAGCACCAGCAGGGAGCCATGGGGTCAGGAGAGGCTCATAGGAAAGGTGAGAGCCCTGCAGATAAAGCACTTAGACATTCCTCGGGGCTCTTCCAGAGGTGCCAGCACCTCTCAAGGCACCTCCTGCCCCCTGAGATCCCTTTGGGCAATGGGGGGGGATCAGCACCGAGCACCCTTATGGCTGTGAAGACAGGAGGAGGAGGAGGAAGGAAAAGAAAAGCTAAAGATGAGCTGTGTTTCAGTTGCACTGGGGTACGTTTCTTTACCCATTTTGATGCTGATGTCTCATTTAGTACGTTGCATGTGTCTTTCTTTTGTTCTGTTCCGTTGTTTTTTTTTTTTTAATTAAATAAAAGAGAAAAAAATGTGTATATTTTTGGCAATTTAAGGTAATGTAGCTAAGATATATTTTTTTCACGCTGCTTGACTGTTCTTTATTATAATAAATAATATTAATATGAAAAAAAAAGGCGTCGTTAATGCACCTGTGGGGGCGCAGCTGCTCACAACCCCAGCTCTCCAAAGCTGGCACAAAGCTGGAGGGGCCCCAGGCTCAATGAAGGGCTCCGTGGGGACACAGCAACACTTTGGGGGTGGCACAAAAGCCTCTCATTGCCCTGCATGCCTGCAAACCTCCCTGCAAAGCACAAATGAGGTGTGTGAGAAGGGCTTTGCAGGTGTGCAAAGGACACCAGGGAAGCTGGGCTCCTCCAGTGCAGCAGTTCTTGCATCCCAGGTGAGCAGCTTGCATTGCTTTGCTGCTTGCTGCTGCCCTCGGCGTTGCAGTGAGGTTGCTTGAAAGGGTGAAGCAGCAGCTTCCCAGCAGGAGGCCTGAATGCACAGCTCACACGCGTCCTCTTGTCTCCTGTTTTCCAGTGGATGGACAGTAAGGAGGGTGTTTGGGAACAGCTGGAGAAGGGAAAGGGAAAAGGGGAGGGAAAACAGGGCAGGAAAGGGAATGGAAAAGGGAAGGGGAAGGAGAAAAGGGAAGGAAAAAGGGGGGAAAAAGTGGAAGAAAAAGAAGAAATGGGGGGGAGGGGGAAGGTGAAAAACATTGGAAAGAAAAGAAAAAGAAAAAAGAAAAAGAAAAGAAAAAGGAAAAAGAAAAAAGGAAAAAGAAAAAGGAAAAAGAAAAAAGGAAAGAAAAAGAAAAAGGAAAAAGAAAAAGAAAAAGAAAAAGAAAAAGAAAAAGAAAAAAGAAAAAGAAAAAGGAAAAACAAAAAGGAAAGAAAAAGGAAAAGGAAAGAAAAAGGAAAGAAAAAGAAAAAGAAAAAGAAAAAGAAAAAGAAAAAAACGAAAAAAGGAGGGGGAAAGAAGAAGAAAGATGAAGAAGAAAAGAAAAAAAAGGGGGAAGAGGGAAAAAAAGGAAAAAAGAAGAGGAAAAAAGGGGAAAAAAATAAAAAGATGAAAAAAAGGAAAAAAAGAAAAAGGAAAAAAGAAAAAAAAGAAAAAAAGAAAAAGTAGAAAAGGAAAAAAAAAGATGAAAAAGAAAAAAAAAGAAGAAAAGAAAAAAGAAAAAAAGAAATAAGGGGGAAAAAAAGAAATAAAAGGTAAAAAGAGAAAGGAGGAAAAAAAAGAGAAGGAAAAGAAAGAAAAAAAATAAAAAGCAAAAAAGAAAAAGAAGGAAAAAGAGAAAGAGGAGAAAAAGAAGGAAAAAAAAAGAAAAGGGGGGAAAGGAAGGAAAAAGAAGGAAAAGAAGCGAGAAAAAGAAGGGGAAAGAGAAAAAAAAAGAAGGGAAAAAAGAGAGAAAAAGAAGGGAAAAAAAGAGAGAAAAAGAAGGGAAAAAAGAGAGAAAAAGAAGGAAAAAAAAGAGAGAAAAAGAAGAGGAGGAGGCGGGGCGGCCGCTGTGACGCGGCGGATCCGAATTTCCGGCCCGGCGGAGCTGCGGCCGTTCCGGGGCGGTGCGGGATGGCGGCGGTGCGGCGCGGGGCGGCCGCTCTCGTGACCCGGCTGAGGGCTGCGCTCTCCCCCCGCATCGCGTTTCCGTACCGCGTGGAGCTGAAGGAAGGAAAGAAATACGCGTGGTGCTCGTGCGGGCACAGCCGGGCGCAGGTGCGCGGCTGCGGGATGGGCCGGAGGGGTTGCGGGACGGGTGCGGGCTTCCCGCAGTTTTTCCTCTCGCAGAACCGCGGTTCTTTTTTATTTCTCAGCCGTTCTGCGACGGCACGCACCGCACCTTGGCTCCGGACAGCGTCCCGCTGCGTTTCACGGCGGAGGCGGATGGCAAAGTGTGGCTGTGCGGATGCAAACGGACCCGCAGCCCCCCCCGGTGCGACGGCAGCCACCTGCGGCTGTGGGAGGCGGGGAGCGGAACCCGGCGCTGAGCTCCGTTGTTGGGTCTCTTCCTCATCCTCGTCACCGCACCCGGCGGGGCAACCCGTAGGGATGCGGCCCCCTGTGGTTTTGTGTGGCTGCCGGGGGGTGCGTGGCACTGAGCAGCGTTTATTGCACGTCCCGAGCTGGGGCGTAATGCAAATGTTTGCCCGATGATTGTATGGGATGATGCAAATATATTATGGGATGTGACGGTAGGTGGGATGTGAGCACACGGAGCGTAGAGGGGAAAAAACACACCGGGGGGGGTCCCGCAGCATCGCAGTGCAGGAGTGGGGGCTGCAGTGACACCCCAGGAGCAGCATTTGAAGAAAGCAATCCTAAAGCAATCCGTGAGCCCACCGATGCACCCCAGGGTCCGGGGAGGGGGGTGAGAGGCAGCCCGGGCTGAAAGGAACTGTGGTGCGTTTGGTCTGTATGCAAAAAATCCAACATGGAGATGGGAAATGAATCATCCCAGTGGGGAGTGAGGACTGGGGGGGGAGGAGGAGGATGTGTGGGGCAGCGCCCGGCTCGCACAACTGCAGCGTTAAATAACAAAACCGAAACTGTTTGCAGCAGCGTGGTGAGGTGCTGAACAGCTGCCTAAAGCTATGGGTGCCCCGTCCATCCCTGGAGGCGTTCAAGGCCAGGGTTGGGGCCCTGGACAACCTGCTCTAGTATTAAATGTGAAGGTTGGCGGCCCTGCTTGCAGCGGGGGGGGTTGGAACTCCATGATCCTTGAGGTCCCTTCCAACCCGAGCCATTCTAGGATTCATTTGAAAACACCCGAGCTCCCCTCTGCACCTCACCTGCACTCTGAACCCACCCGTAAAACACGCGTGCACGATCTGCACCTCCCTCTGTACACGTCTCTCTTTATAGATGCACATATATATAATATATAGAGCTATACAAAACCAACGCGGCCGTCCCCCCCCTCCCCCCGTTAGGTCAGCGCGGACCCCGCGGGGCCGTGAGCCGCGGCTTTGCGGCAGCGGGAGGGGGGCAACGGGGGGCAGTTCGAAGCGCCGTGGGGAGCGGCGGCGGTTGTGGGGCTGGGAGAACCGTGGGGCGGAGTGCCGGGGCTGGGAAGGGAGGGCGGAGTGCGGGGCAGCGTGGCGGGGCTGTGCGCTTTGTCGCTGAGCGATTCGCATTCGGAGGCGCCGCTGGTGTTGGTGCACTCGGAGGTGGGCGGCTGAGGCAGCTTCAGGCGCTTGCAGGTCGGCTGGACGCGGTATTTGAGAGGCAGAGGGCCGTTCTGTGGGGGGAGACGGGCAGAGCGTGGCACCTTGCACCCTGTGTGCCCCACACACCTTGTGCTCCATGCACCCTACACGCCCTGTGCACCATACAACCCGCACCCCGTGCACCTTGGACACCCCGTGCTCCACGATCCCTGCACACCTTGTTGCACTCTGTGCTCCGTGCACCCTACACACCCTGCACACCCAGTGGCCCGTGCACCCTGTGCACCATGCACCCTGCACCCCGTGCACCCTGCGTCTTGTGCATCCCATGCACCTCATGTCCTGTGCCCTCTGTGCACTGTGCACCATGCACCTCGTGCACCCCGTGCACCTTGCATCTTATGCATCCCCTGCACCCCACGTTCTATGCCCCCTCTGCACCGTGCACCCCACATCCCATGCATCCCATGACCCATGCACCCTGCATCTCATGCACCCCATGACCTTTGCACCTGACATCCCATGCACCCCATGTCCCGTGCACCCAACGTCCCATGCCCTCTGTGCACCATGCATCATGTGCACCCCCTGCACACCCCATACTCTGTGCCCCATGCACCCTGCATCTTGTGCATGCCACACACCTCACATCCTTGTGCCCCCTGTGCACCATGAACCCCACATCCCACGCGCTGTGCACCCCATAGCCCACGCACCCTGCATCCCCCCACTCACCCTCCTCCAGGGGTAGATGTAGGCGATGTCCATCAGTGTGTAATACTCCCTCAGGGGCTCATCTCCATAGAGAACCTCCACCTGGTGCAGAGGACAGCATCAGTGCCCCAGGGCGGGGGAACGAGCAAAGCCGGGTTGGGGGCGGGGAGAGGGGATAGCAGGGGTGCTCACCTGGTACTTGCTGGGCACGTCCATCTTATTACGCAGGAACTTGGCCAGGTGCATGACAGTCATAGCCGCGGGGCAGCGCAGGAACCGCACCGCGTTCCTCTGGGGGAGAAGTGCTGCTGAGCCCCCCCTGCAGTGGGGGCAGCCCCCCACCCTCACCCTGCCGGTGTGTCCCCGTTGCCCCTCCTCCCGCGCTCACCTTCTCCTTCTCCAGATCCCCATTCTCGATGGTTCCTTTTTTCTCTTCTCTGGGGGGCAAGAAAACAAAGAGGGCGGTCAAAGCTGAAGGAAAACGCAGCCCCCCGTGGGAACCTTCCAGGGGGACACGGGGGGGGGGAAGAGAGGGAGGACACCTCGGGGCCTTTCGCCGAGCTCCGTGAGCACAGCGCTGCATCTCCAACACCGAGCGCTGCTGCTGGGGACGTGGGGCTGAGCCTTGCGATGGGTCCTGGATGCTCCCCGCCCCACATCCCCGCCCCACATCCCCTTCCCGACCCCCACCCCACGTCCTCGCCCGG